AGCATATACTACCAAAAACGAGCAGCAAATATTGACAACAATGGAGGGCCTGTCGAGCAGAAATATCGAGCATATACTACCAAAATCGAGCAGCAAATAAAGCAAATATTAACAACAATYGATGCATCAAACAAACCCAAAAATATCGAGAATATACTAGCAAAATCGAGCAGCAAATCAGAAGAAAAAACGAGCAGCAAATCAAAAGCAATCGAGCAGCAAATCAGAAGCAATATCGAGCAAAATCRAGTATAATCGAGCATAATCTATACATAAGGAGAAGAGTTACCTTTGGAGAAGAGAGCCTTGATTTGAGGAGAAAGTATTTCGGCCGATTAGGGTTCTTGAGGAGAAGATTGGAGGAGAAGAGCGACTATGGGAGGAGAAAAGAGAGGCGTGAGTTTTATTGGAGGTCTTTTTTTTTTTTTGACAAGACATGGTATCCGGCTGCGCGATCAAGTCCATGTCTGGGCGAATAAGCCCGAAGTAAACACCCTAAAATGGCTGTGCGAATAAGCCCATTTATCCGGTAAGCTCATTAAGCCACAAGTAAACAGGCCCTTAATATATATATATATATATATATATATATATATATATTAAAAAACAACCAATAATGATAAGATGGATTCATATATCAAAGATAATATTGATTTTTATTAGTTTAATATATAAATATGATCATCGACTCATTTAACTGACTTCATTAATTTAATAAAATATAATATCATGATGTCAAAAACTAGTATAAATAAAGAGAAGACATGTGTAGCCCTCAATAGTCAATACAAATATGCTATAAACAGGAAAAAAGGGGAAGAGGGGGGTTAAAAGGGGGTATCAAAAGCAGAAAGGTGAAATTGGGGGAATATGAAAAAGGCATGTACCACTTACTGTATCCACCTCTTTTAGGGTTTTTTCTATTTCTCCTAAATTTCACACCATAGTTCACATCGAAACTCAATTATTCAGCTACTATATACTCGATTGCTCTTCAACTTTACAACTTCTTGCGTCGATCTTCAAAAAGCCCACTACTTTTCTTCCAGTAATCGTAAGTGTCTCTCTCTCTCCCGCTCTTAATTTTGAATCTTTTTGCAATCTTTGATTTTGTATCGTCTTATGATCTTCAATTTCGAAGTGGGTATGTGTGTTTGGAGAAGATTTAGATGTTCTAAGAATTCGTTGATTTCGTTATGTAATTCCTTCAATGTGGAGTATCGATTGATGTCAGTTGATTAATTTACGATGTTTTAGATCCGTTCTTGTGGGTAAATTAATGTGGGTGTTTGGGGTTTAGACTGAAAATTTCGAATCTAGGGCTTAGAAAAATTGTGGCGGTATGGGTTCGGTGGGTGACGATGGGATTGCGAATTTGATGTCGGCGAGGAAGTCTTTGAAGATTAATTTAGAAAAATCTAGAACCCTAGAGTTATCGATTAAAAAAGCTGGCCCTAGATTAGAAGAGATTAATCAGAGATTACCATCTTTAGAAGCTGCAGTTCGTCCAATTCGTGCTCAAAGAGACGCACTTGATGCTGTTGGTGGTCATATAAACCGAGCCGTGGTTCCTGCGGCCGCTGTTTTGAAAGTTTTCGATGCAATTCACGGGTTAGAGAAGTCGTTATCGGATCCACAATCTGATCTTCAAGGGTACCTTTCTGTTTTGAAGAACTTACAGGAGGCATTGAAGTTTCTTTCGGAGAATTGTGGGATGGCGATTCAGTGGTTAGATGATATCGTTGAGTATCTGGAGGATCATAATGTGGCTGATGGACGGTATACTTCTAGTTTGAAGAAAGCTTTAAAGTATCTTAGAGAGTTGCAAAGTAAAGAAGAAAAGGGCCGCCTTGATGGTGGCCTTTTGGAGGCGGCTCTGGATAGGCTAGAGGTTGAATTCCGGCGACTCTTGACCGAAAACAGTATTCCGTTGCCGATGTCTTCATCCCCATTGAAAGATGAACAAGCTTGCATAGCCCCGTCCCCTTTGCCGGTTTCTGTGATTCAGAAGTTGCAAGCGATCCTTGGGAGCTTGATTGCTAACAACCGGCTTGAAAAGTGCAAATCTATTTATGTTGATGTTCGTAGCTCAAATGTTAGAGCAAGTTTACAGGCGTTAAACTTGGATTACTTGGAGATTTCCGTTTCGGAATTCAATGATGTGCAGAGCATCGAGGGTTACATAGCCAAATGGAGTAAGCATTTGGAGTTTGCAGTGAAGCATTTATTTGAGGCCGAATATAAGCTTTGTAACGACGTGTTTGAGCGATTGGGATTGGATGTATGGCGTGGTTGTTTCGCTAATATTGCAGCCCAAGCGGGAATGCTCGCGTTTCTTCAATTTGGGAAAACGGTCACCGAGAGTAAGAAGGATCCCATAAAGCTATTGAAATTATTGGACATTTTCGCGTCTTTAAATCGTTTAAGATTGGATTTCAACCGTCTTTTTGGCGGAGCTGCTTGTGCTGAAATTCAGAATCTCACAAGGGATCTCATCAAAAGAGTGATCGAAGGGGCTTCGGAAATCTTCTGGGAGCTTTTGGTTCAGGTGGAGTTGCAGCGGCAAGCTCCACCGCCACCAGATGGCAGCGTTCCAAGGCTCGTAAGTTTCATCACCGATTACTGTAATAGGCTTGTTGGAAATGATTATAAGCCAATCTTGAACCAAGTTCTAGCCATCGAACGAAGCTGGAAGCATGAAAAGTTTCAAGAAAGCCTTCTTCACGACGAGCTTCTTAAGTTAATTCAAGCCATTGAGTTGAACCTAGATTCATGGTCAAAGGCGTATAACGATACAATCCTTTCGTACGTTTTCTTGATGAACAACCATTGGCATCTTTACAAACATCTAAAAGGGACAAAGATTGGAGCTTTATTGGGTGACCAATGGTTAAGAGAACACCAAGATTACACAGAGTACTATTCTACGATCTTTTTGCGGGAAAGTTGGGCAAAACTTCCATCTCATTTGAGTCGGGAAGGCTTGATTCTGTTCTCCGGTGGCCGAGCCACTGCTCGTGATCTTGTTAAAAAGAGATTGAAAGCTTTTAACGAAGCTTTCGATAACATTTACAAGAAACACTCCAGTTGGATTATATTGGAGAAAGATCTAAGGGAGAAAACATGCCAACTAATCATTCAGGCGATTGTTCCTGTTTACCGAAGCTATATGCAGAACTACGGGCCGCTTGTCGAACAGGATTCGAGCGCCAGCAAGTACTCAAAGTTCACCGCTCAATCTCTGGAGAAAATGCTCAGTTCCCTTTTCTTTCCGAAACCCGTGAGACATGGCAGCTTCAAAGTCCGGCAAAACAGTAGTAAGTTCAGCAACGGTGTGGAAGATCAGTATTCGGCTTCTCCAACGCCTACCGTTGCATAGATTAAACCGGAAAAATGGTTCCTTTGTATATATTGAGGAACTCGACGTGTAAAAGAGGAGGACCCATATTCGATTCTTGAAGTTGCTTTATCTCTTGAAGCCGCTTTATGAAGTGGGAGTTTTTCAGTTTCTTGAAGCTGCTTTACGAAATGGGAGATTTCGGTTTCTTGAAGCTGCTTTATGAAATGGGAGTTTTCGGTATCTTGATCTTGCTAACGAGCCACCAGATCGGATGACCCATATTGCCGTTTTCAGGTTGGTAGAGTTGCTGAACTCTTGAATCTTGGTATCTATCTATGTTGGTAGACTGTTGAATCTTGGTATCTATGTTGGTTGGAATCCATAATTATTGGTTCTTTTTTTGGTTAGAAGCATCTAAGATTGTTAAATTTACTGCTGTTCTTGTTTATGTACAATTGTTTTGGTATAAATCTTTGAACCTTTTAAATAGATGGCTAGTTTCTATCATGATTCATCAAAGATTCAACTTTCTTGAGAATAAGATTTGTCTTCCTGCCATATATACATACATCTATATATATATATATATATATATATATATATATATANATATATATATATATATATATATATATATATATATATATATACATACATCTATATATATATATATATATATATATAAGTTTCGTTTTCGGTTTTCATATCGGTTAATGGTGGTGGTGTTCTTTCATACATACGGGCAAATCGAGTATCTGCTGCAAATCATGCAAACCGAATGTATCTGGTAAATCCTATTTGAAAGTAGGGTTTGAAGGGTAGGATGTATACATTTGTTTTTTTTTCTATTTTTAGGAGTAAAAAGGTTGTTTCTGTTGAGTGCTGCTATTATATGTACTGTGTATATATTCATCTGAACTCAAATATATGCATATATGAAGTGCATGGAGTTGTAGAGTCCACTACAGTTGAATCTGTGGATGCCAAAAAATTCTAATGTTATTTGGTTGGTTTTCTATTAAGTATTGTATGGATAAGATTGTCTAAGTTGATTAATCTATCTATATAGATTGAGAAGGTTTTGTTTGGGAGGGTATTTTTATAGATGGAAAGAACGTGTATTTTAATTGAGAGTGACAGGTTTGGAAGAAAACCCCTCATAAAGCGTTCCCTAGAAGCTTATTGAATAAGCTACTTCCATACAGTTATGTAAAACAACTGAAAAAGTTGGGAGTCTCATTAAGCTGATTAAGCTGACCACAAATAGGCTCATATTGTCTAATAGACTGTTTTATGAGTTATGTTAATAGAACCAAACAATTGGGTCTTTTATGTAAATACAATAAATTTTTAGGACGGTTTTAGACGTTCTAAAAAGTTATTTAGAATACGTTTTGAAATAGAACGTCTTACAAGCCTTTTTGTATAACATGATTGGTCCCTGTGGTTTTTACATAAAATGATATTGTATAAATCAGTCTATTATGAAATTTAGATATTAAAATTAAGATGCGTACAAAGTATATTTGTGAATCATAACGGAAACATTAAGCACGATTTTTTTTTCGAAAACGCGTTGATCCCGTAACTTATTTCGTTAAGTTCTAACTGAACTTTTGTCCATTCAACCCCGCTAAAAATGGAAGTTTGAGGACAAAAAACGTAACCCAAATAGAGAGAAAACTCGATACAAAACTTTCCTAAAAAACTCGTATTCACTCGCTATACAAACGCACATCTATATTTACAGGCTGCTATTTGATGGCAAATACCGTTCAAGACACTGTTTCAAGTTTTGAAGCGTAACCGGCTTTGTTATGAACGAGTCCATTCCGTTGGCGAAACATTCTTCTGCGCTTTCCGACATTGCATTTGCTGTCATCTGTAAAAACCCGAGTTTTGGAAGCAAGGAATTATACTGATTGCTGTTTAAAAAGGACAAAATGCAACGGAGCTTGCCTTGGTTCCTATTTAGTGCAACTAAGTTCCAAAATTTTCCATTTTGTATTCATTTTGACACGTGTTGATCTTGTAACATTTGATGGTGTGGATTTCAAGTTTATTGTCGACTTTGCCATAACCCTTTCGTAAACGGGTATCCACGTCATCAAATGTTACAAGATTAACAGATTACTGATCAAAACGAGGGAAAAACACGATAAAAGATGCATCAGCATTAGTTGATTTCTACAAATAGAAAGAATCAACTATTTCTGGTACTTACAGCAATGATGGGAATTCTCTTTCTGGGCTCCCATATTTGATCGCCGGAAAGGCGATCAGGTGGCTCAACTCCGGCAAGTCGTGCGTCATCCCAGTTGCCGGTTTTCTCATATGACCGGATCAATCGTGTAGCTTGAAGACCATCCATTACCGGCATGCATACATCCTGCAATATGAAATACACAATATTTCATTCGGTATGCAACATTTTATTTGTAATTGTCGATGTTAGAACCAGCTTGTGTACATCTCGATTAATCCGACGGGAACCTGAAGATAACAATCAGGTAAATCTCCAGTGACCATAAGGAGACTCGAACTAGCGACCTATAAGGAGGAGCCATAAGGCCTGGCCTTTATTTGTCAATTGAGCCGATCCTTCATATTAAAGTAAAGATCGTAAGAACACAAAGCAAATGCTATGGAGTCGAAGTAAATACCATAAGAACGAGATCGTAATCGCAACGTTGAACGGCACGCACGGCTTCCGCCCCATTATTCACGACATCCATATCTTGATTCAACTGTCTCATCATCCGTTTCGCTACCATCACATTCACAACATGATCTTCAACAAGAAGAATCTTGGGTCTAGCCGATGATTTCGATCTTTCATGATTCACATTGCTAGAAACACACCCCGAGTTTCTATCGGAATCCACCCTCATCCCGTCCGTAGTCGAGGGTCGGTTTTTCTTATTACTAGGATTGTGAAACGCACGGTCTTGATCATCATGGTTCTCTTTGTCTTTCTTGGTGCGGTTCTTGTTCTTATTCTCCAAATTCCGTTTTGAAGAACTTTCCGCCACGACACCAAACCCATCTAGCTTGTCAAAATTGGTTTCGTTTCCCATTAAGTCAGGTGTTCGGTTCAAACCGTTAGCCGAGAACAGCGAGCCCAAAGTGCGCGGCTTGAACTGGAAAAACCCGCAACTTACATCATCTTCCGTGGAAGCATTGTCATCCATATCTCGGAATTCATCGGTTTCGTCCGAACTTTCACAAGCATGTGGAACTTTATGGGGTAGAACAAAAGTGAAGGTAGATCCACAGTGTTCTTTGCTAGAAACTGTTAAAGATCCACCCATGAGCTCAACCTATAAGGTATATATCAGCAAGAAACTATGTCTTAGGACCATTGTATGAAGTATAGATGAACAGTAAAATCGGCTTTGTAGGTCAAAAATCGTTAAATGTCTTAATAGACTGCTTTGTAGGACTTGAGTTTATAGAATCAAACTGTTGTGCATCCTATGTAAATGTGTTATAATAAGTTGGTAGAATGTTTTTGTTCGTCATAACAGGAGCTTATTTACCTAAGTCCTGATTACAGTCTGTTAAGACATTTAGACATTTTTGGCGTCCTGTGAAGCTGATTTCATTGTAGTGGAAACCGCTTTTTAAGAAATATGAGGATATGTGGAACTCTTTTAAATCTTTTTTAAAGAGCGTTCGTTGGAAGTGGGAAGGTTTCTACGTATATATAGGTTTGATGGTCGATGTTCGAACATTACCAGTTGTTTGCAGATGGCTAAACCTAATCCAGTTCCACCGTACTTCCGAGCTGTATCGGCACCAGCTTGCATGTATTTCTTGAACAGCGATGGTAATGCAGTTTCTGTCGTATCACAGTGCAAAATCCGTGAGCAAGAACACGGATAAATCTTTTAGCTGATAAACTAGTTAAGTTTGGTGAAAACTAGCCGGTAAGATAGATGACAATGTAAAATAACCTAAAAGAACATGTAAAATTAATCGGAAAAATAAAAATACGGATAACCAAACAAGACTTTTTCAGTAAGCTAGCTTATGAGGCTTAAGAAAATAGAAAAGTACCTGGGATTCCAATCCCGGTATCCTGAACATCACAGCGTATCCACACCACGGTTTCATGCGATTGATGTTCGTTCTCGTTGTGTTCATCTAACACGCTGCTTCTTGCCGGAAGCAGTACTTTGCCGTTTTCGATCTCTGGTTTCTGCTGATCTTGGGGACATGGGTCTGCTATTACATAAAGATTTATCTTAACCTTCCCTTCGTGGGTAAATTTGACAGCATTGCTGCAGAAAACGACATAAAAGTCTGATAAAAAGATTGCGAAAGTAAACCAAGTTGATCGGGATTCGACACCATGGCTGCAGAAAGAGCGGTAAACTGAGCTTCTAGTTCTAATACAGTAACCGTACCTGATCAAGTTGGTGAGGATTTGCCGAATTCGAAGAACATCACCGATAACCTGAAATCGAGTTACGATATTATATGTTAAGATCTTGAATGGATGGTATGAAGCATCCATGAATAAGGCTATATTTGGCAAACTAGCTGTTGGGCTAACTAGCTAGCCGATAAACTAGTAATGTTTGGTAAAAACCCGCTGATAAGCTAGATGACAATGTAAAATGATATGTCTATAAATTAATTGGAAAAACACAAGGGGCAATTAGAAAAAAGTTGAAAACGCCCTTATAGCTTATTGAAACGCTACTTGAAGTAACTTTTCAAAAGCTAGCTTATAGCTGAGCAAACGGGGCTTTTTCAATAAGCTCAAAAAATAAGTTAGCTTATGGTTGCCAACTATGGCCTAAAGTTACCAACGAGCAAAGATCTCACCTCGATGGGGACATCATCAGCGACATTTCCTTCCAAAATCAGCATCTTTTTTAGCGATGCTGCAGCGGTTTGGAGTACATGCTTGATCACCTCTCTAGGCCTAAACTTTGTGGCTTCAAGCTTCATGACTCCTGAGAGCCATCGCAAAATAGGAGACACGAATTGAAGAAAACAATGCAAACAAGCGGAAATTGAGAATCTTGGATACGAAAGTGGCACAAGAAAGGACGAGAAACCGACCTGATTCGACTTTAGAGAGATCGAGGATGTCGTTTATAAGCTGAAGGACTAAATCACCCGAAGATAACATGACACCCAAGAGCTGTTTTTGATCTTTATCAAGTTTAGTAGTCGATAGAATCTCCGCCATGCTAACAACCCCAGATAATGGCGACCGTATCTCGTGTGACATGGTTGCTAACATTTGTTTTGCTCTCATAGTCTCCTCTACAAAAACGTTGATTGCATAAAACGTTAATAACCGTTAAAAATATAAGGAAAAAAAGGCGAGGTTTCAACATATATTGTCCCAGAGTGTCGAGTTCCGAGCGAAGATATCCCAGATGGTAGACCTCTGCTCTGATACCATGTGACATATGTGGGACCCATTCAAATTACTCTTCACATTAAGCACGAAGGGAGGTTCCAACATATATTGGCTGACGTGCGACTTTAACAGGAGTAATCAAGAAAGCTACTAAACCTGTTATATGAATAGTTTTGTTAAGTTCGGTTTCCCTGGCCTTTTGCACCGCGATTTCCTCTCGAAGCTTTGCCATCTTTTCTCTCCTTCTCACCTAAGAAAACATGATTCACATGTGAATCTCTCTTTACATAGTTTCTCGATATTCTAACGGCTAGAAACTTTGAGAATGTAGACATGAATCGACTCGTAAGAAAATATCACGATGAGTGACTCTTACTTGATCGGTTATTTCCATTCCCATATAATTCACACCAATCGTTTCGCCTGCTTTGCTGAAAACAGGTTCAACGTATATCAGGAACGTTTTCGCTCCGAATAAATCGGTTTCAAACGTGAACTCTCGCTTTCCCGGCAATCCTCGTTCAAGAACTTCCCGTTTGAAGTCTTGGGATTCCTTGACACCATCACCTTTGAATATCTCGACGTCTGTTTTTCCAATGATATCCTGAAACAGGTTCAAAGATCGAATTTATCAATGATTTCTGATCAAAATTTCACGAATATAATCAACCGGTGATCACATTACCTCTTCTCGCAAGCTCGGAAAATGATTATAGATGAAGCGATATCGCAACTCTTTGTCTTGATGGCCAATGACAACCGGTGCATTTTGAAGAACGAAATGCAAGAAGTTATCGGCTCGTTTCAAGATCTGTGAAAGTTCTTCAACTGGTGACGACTGTTTCTCGAGCTTTTCAATGCTTTCATCCAACTTTTCGCAGAGTATCTGCTCCCGTTGGATGCTTGCTTCCAACAACTTCTCCAAATGCAAGGCCCGTTGCTTCCAATATTTAACTGTACCTGTCTCATGCTCATCATCGATTTCTATTCTTTGATCCTGAATAATAACATCATTTCGCCTTTTGGGCGCATCTTGAAAGATCTCGTAAACTTCATCCAATATAGAAACCGGCCGTTTATCACCCCCATAACTTTCTTGTTCAAATCGATGTTCTTCTAATATCTCCAATTTCTTGAGCTCAACTTCACGTTGTTGTTTGCTCAAATTCTCGAGCTCTTCCCTCAGAAGCCGCACAGCATTTTCTTGTTTCCATTCCCAGTTTTTTACGAGATAAGATAATTGAGACGACCCTTTTTCGCTATAATTCGTGAGCTCGAGTAGACGTTGGAAGTCTACGATCGTTGGCTCTTCGATGAAAGTTACATCCTCTAACAAATCTTGATCGGCTCCCGGCTTTTCCACGTTGAACTTTTTTCCGGCTGCATCAATGTCTTCCGGCCACATTGAAGGCAAGACTTCGACCTCCATATCCTCCACGTTGTCTTCTTCCATTTCGTTAGAACGGTTGGATAATCACATCGGTATGTTTTATCTAATGCATTTGTAAGTTTCACCATAAGTGAGGGATACTGATCTTTTGATTCTGCAATAAAGATATATAATAAAAAAAGCTAACATCTTTACAACACGGAGCAGTTTCAAACGAGAACTGTAAATATTTTGAGAACCTGGGAACCACCTATTCATCAATTATTCATGATGAATATCATGAGAGATATTAAAATGCATGATATTCATGATGAATAGTATGCAGGAATGTCTTAAAGTTATTCATAATGAATATTTCATGAAATAGTTGGTTCTCCCCTTGGTCCTTTTAGTCCCAAAAAAGTCTACTTTGACTTTTAAGGTCAAACGTAGTGATTTCAAATTCAAAATTGACCGTTAGATTTCACTTATTTCTTAACTCCAAAATGTATTTTATATAATTTACTTATTGGAGTTACTTATCAGATTTTTCAGTTTAGCAAAACCAATATTCATCAAATTAAATGCTAAAAAGTAACTCGTTTGACTTTCAAAAAGTCAAAATGGGCTCTTCTTTTGACTTTGGGGCTATATGAAGTGAACAAGGCTTCAAGTGCTATATACAACCTACCACAATTCTTGTTTATACATCCATAAGTAAACAAAACCAGACGAAAACAAACCAACCCTGTATATTTCACCCGCAGGTGGGGTCAGGGGTCAGATGTATGGAAACTTGTATATTTGCCCAAAGAGTAGAGCGGATGATTCCATGACATGTATATATCAGTATGTGAACCAAAACAGTTCAAAACAAACGAACCTGGTACATTCCAAAGGTGGGGTCCAGGGGTGATGTATGTAAACGTGTATATCTGCCTAAAGAGTAGAACAGTTGTTTCTGTGATGTATACATCTATATATAATCAACAGAATTCTTGGCATGACGGGACAATTTAGTATACCATTCGTCCAAATTTGCAGTTTTTAACATATTTTGACCAACGAGCGATTGATTTATTGTCTTGAACCAATTAAAAGCATCAAGATTCATAACGAAAATACGAAAAAGAACACTATACTTGGTTGAAAAAGGCGAATAGCACACTAAAGTTGGCAGAAAATGGCCAAAAAGCCATTGCTAACTGAGCTTTTTTTTCCTTTTGAATCTTCTTTTTGCACCATAGAAGACAATAATTCGAAACTCTAATCGATCATTCGACGAATATCTGATAACTCTACAAGAACATATTGCCCATATCCCAATTAAGATGTAGTCAAACCAGAAACAAACCTATGAACATGATCTGCTGACATGATGTGCAAAACCTCAGCTGTCTGTCTCTGTTTGAAGAAGAACATGAACACCATCCAAATGAAGAATCTGAAAACCTCAAAATTCTGCAAAAATGGACAATACCCACAAAATTTAGCCACAAATTGATTGAAACCCAACAATCTTTTCAGATAAAAGTTGGTTAATTACCGAAATTTAGATAAACAAAATGATAGGGCATCGAAATCAAGAAACTGGAGAAATCAATGCTGCTCAATCTTCTGCAAAAATGGCCAAAACCCCACAAAATTTTAACAAAAACCCATCAATTATTTCAGTTAAAAGTCCGTTAACGGATGAAATTTTGATGAAAGGGAACTGGAGAAGTGAGGTGTTGGAATACCCTGCAAAAATGGGCAAGAACCATTCACAAATGAATGAAACCCTCAAACCCACCAACTATTGCTGACATTTAGATCAAAAAAAGGGGGGGAAATCTGAGGTTGAAGGTGTTCATCAGGAGTCTTGATAGATCTGTAAAGTGTTTCATTGAAATGCTCAGTCAATGAATAAACAAAGAGCTCAATCAATGGAGTATAGAGAGAGAAACCATGTGAAGAAGAGAAGCTCAAAAGGCCATGTGCATTGAACAACAGATTATATATATACAGTTTTTACAACACATAAATGTGTTGCTGCTGACAATTGTGTGTTTATTATTGTCAGAATTTTCCTTTTTATATTTCTTCAAGAATCTATTGTCTGAAGAGGAAGACAAGATTCCAAGATTTGGGATTTTCCCCCTCTTTCAAGATTTTAACCATTAGGTTTCAGAATCACACCTATAGAAAGTGTAATGATCTAGACTTACAAGGAGGAGGGGGGAGGGGTATGTTAGGATCCAGGTGCTTACCATTACGTCAAAAGCAATTGTTGGTGGAGAAGGCGTAACTTATTTCCTTATA